ATTGATAATATAGGTTATCATAATGAAATTCCTATTTCGCTTTAATTGTTCACACAAAGTTTAATAAGGTATTTTTCTAGAATATCCAGAAATAACATATTCTTCTTAGAACATTTTATTATTAAATGTGTTTTGCTTAATATTCTACCTCACTAAAACTCTTATTTTTTCTCTCAAATGAATTAATACTTAAAATGGATTTTTATTATTGTCATAAATTCACATTTATGTAGTTAAGATTAAAATTCCCTTGTTTAATGTGTTCAAATGATTTGTCTATCATTTATCACTTAAAACAAACTATCTATCATACTGGACGTATTCCATTATTCTGAATGATTCGGCTTATGAATCATACAACAATATGAAATCCTATAACACATGTACATATATGTCAAATTGAAACAGGTAAGAATGTCTATCACCTCTTAGAATCATCTGATTTGTTTAGAAATAAACGAAACCAAACATAATCCAAACTACAAAATGTTTCGATGAACAGTAATTCGAATGTACAGTTTAGTATGCTGTTACTAAAACTAGTATAACATTTATATAGACGGTATATATATATATATATATATACTTCAGATATCTCCATTTAACTTCAATGAATCTGTCATCTGCTGATAGTAAATATTCAGCTAGATTTTAACCAGTTATCTTGAACACGATACCGTGTATAATCTTAAAAGTTACGACAACACAGTTGTTGCTATAACTTTTGGGATGTGTGCTGCCTATGCTGACAGATATAAGTAATATATAAGGCCAATCGAAAGTAGAGCGCTTAGCAACAGAAGATTCAAATGAAGAGAACAGGAAGAAAATCAGAGAGCTATCGAAATCACAACAGGATTAAAGGAATAATTAGGTAGATAAAAGACAACATAAATGATATATTTAATGCATAGTTTTGATATTTTACTAAGCTACTCTGTGATTTTTCATGAAACAAATTGGTTTTTCCCACCTGAGTTCTCGTTCACTACTCTATGACTAATATTACATCAAAGGTATTCAAGGGACATATTGTACTACACTAACGTTTTGCAACTAAGACCTTTAAAAGCTTTAAATGTAAAATACAAAAGTAGACACTCTCAAAATGTTTACATTTTTAAAATAGTTTTAAAATCTAATAGTAGTTTAATTATAGAAATTAAATTTTCGGCTTCCGGCATCCATTTCTCTCTATAATCGTTTTAAACAAAATTTCTCATTCAATAATTATTATTAATAAATATTCAATTATTTTTGTACAAACAAACATTAAGCTGGTCGCATGTGTTATTTGAATATTAAATTACTCGTCATTATATTAATGTTAAATTAACATGATTCAATCAGTTGGATATTAAACGATAAGTAAATAACCAACTATGTATGGTGATATTCTATATAGAATTTTTCCCAACTTAATCATGATGTCCTAATTTATCTCTTCCAATCAAACATTAAAATAACACACAGTCAGGATAAAGATGAAAGTTATTCATTTAATAATATAAAGAACTAAATTACTTTGAACAAGATGGAATTTTTATGAATATTCGTCAAGATGAGAAGGGATAGTTTGATAGAAATTGTTAGCCGATTATAGAGAAGTTTTTTTGGTTCTACATCTGACTCTAATTAGATCGCTCATATAAAAACAGTCACGATTGATAAGCGAATAATTCACAAGGTCAGAATGTGACTCAAGTAGAATGAATAGATTGGTTTGTCCGGAAGCTAGAATAAGGCATATGGGTTTAACATAGTAACTGACACTACAAAGTGATTATATGTGAAAATTATATTTGAAATAATTTCAGCAATTGAATTTTGTGTTTTACTTGATCACAGAAGATATCTATGTGAATTAGAATTGTATTTATAATGAGGATACTGTTCGAGATATCAAGTTAATAAAACATTCTTTATATAATCTAAATTGTTTGTTATGTAATGAAAAATAGTTGATAATTTCAACTACTTATTATAACATTTCATAATGAAACTATAGTTCATTACTAAACGCAAACAATAATTGGAGATGTAATAGCTTTTTTCAACTAGACATTAGGGACAATTTTCAGAAGGGGTTTTGTGGAGATTTTTGAAATTTAAATAATTGAAATCATTACTCAATTGAAGCCAGACCACCATGGAAAACCTGAAAGCACTGGACGGCCGTTTCGTCCTAGTATGGGACTCCGCAGCAGTGCGCATCCACGATCCCGCATCCCACGAGATTCGAACCCAGGACCCATCAGTCTCGCGCGCGAGCACTTAACCATTAGACAACCGAGCAGGCATCCAACGGTGTTAATGTCTAAATTCAACCACTCCATGAAATTGAGCGACACATCCACCATTGCCTTCAATCAGCTGATATCTCACAACAGACCTGGTTGAACTCCAGTGGTCACGGCTTTTCATTAAAACTCCAGGAGTGTCTCTTGAAGTCAGTCACTGGTGAACAGATGATTATTTTCAACGAGAATTTCAATGGATCCATACATATTGACTAAATGATTCTTAAAAGTTGTAAATATCAAAAAATATTAAGATTCATAACTATTATTGAAGAAATAAAAAAGTGTTTTACATTCCTATTCACATTTTATAAACGGAATGGATATTTTGCAAAGAAATTTTAAAAAAACAGCCAAATTCGCAACTTAGTTCATTTATTTTACATAAAACAAAGGCAAACAAACAAATACTGATGTTTATTCGGAACAAAAATTTTGTTTGTGCTACAATCCAGATGATTTTGATTCGACTAATTTTAAATGTGAAAACATTCATAAGAAATTTTCATAATCAAAACATTATCATGTGAATATTGTTCTTTTTCTTTTTTTTGGCAAATATCTTTAGATATAAACATAGAATGTATACGAATACATATAAGTATTTGACTAACGTAATAATATCAGAAGGAATTTTGTGGATATTATAGTAATTTCAATAGTTGAGCTCATGAGTCAATTGAAGCGCTCACGTTGGATGCCGATCATCTCGGTGGTTTAGAGGTTAAGCGCTCGAGAACGAGACTAACAGGTCCTGGTTTCGAATCTCGTGAGGCGTTATCCTGGATGCGAACTTCTGAGGAGTCTCACAATAGGATGAAACAGCTTTCCAGTACTTTCAGGTTTTCCATAGTGGTCTAGATTCAATTGACTGATGATCTCAACTATCGAAGTTAAAGTAATAATACTTAACGGGCGAGACTATAATTTATGGATGACCTTTCAATGAATCTCAGGTGACCTTGAGAAATATTAGCAAATCAGAAAACAGTCAGTATAGAGTAAAAATATATTATACAAAAGCAAAGGAATAAAGTCGATACACTTCTTATACATGGTTCAAAAACTTGTCAAGGTTAGAAAGAGGTTCATAGGTTCTAAAATTGTAATGCATCCATTAGAGGAAATCATCTATATGGCTACAGAATAGTCGGCCTGTGGAGCCATAATAAGGTCGCAAAAGCTCTTCCAGCCTCGAACACATAGCTTTAATATTGTTTGTGTGCACTCTGGTTGTTGAGTACGCATAATGCCACTTGTGGATAACGACACGATTCACGCAACCAAACCTATGTAGAAGTCTGTACGCTCTACAACCATCCGTATATATTGTAGTACCTAGCTGCAGCCAGTGTTACTGGTGCTTTTGTTATCCAGTTCGAAATAATTGTCATAATTTGCCTTAGTCATGAATTATATATAGGTTTTTCATCACGAACTGACATCACCTTTAATGCCAAAACTCTATATAGCCAAATGGATGACAGATTTTCGCGCCAAAATCCGAGATCTGTTATCTCATACCTGATTGGTTCGTCCACAAATTATAGTCTCGTACTGAAGTTGGCTCCGTGACCCTGAAATCCGTCAAACGCTTGTCTATAAATTGTAGTCTTGCCGATTTCTGAAACGTTTGTTTACAGTTTTGTTTTGTTTTTAATGTTGAAAATAATCAGTTGAAAGTATGATAATTTTCTTTTCGCATTTACACATTATATACTGAAAATAAACTCAAAATGGTTTCAATGTAATACAGGGAACAAAAGTTATCGAATTATTTCTTATTTGATACAATATGTATATTTACATCTCACATTAAACTGTAATTTGATTTTTATTCCCTACAATATCTACTGTTTAGAAGAAAAGACAGTGTTTTAATTTACTGTCTGAGATTATTCATTGATCTTAAATACTATCCACTGAATAGTTCATCATCATCATCAAATTTTGATGGTGTTAATTTATCAGTACTATTCATCCGATAAGTAAGGGTTTATTATTCAAGCATTTGAAACTTCAGGTTTTGATGATAAATATCTAATTTCCCAAACTAAACTAAATGGGTTGAGGTGGGATTCTGCCATTGAAAGTTAAACGATGAAATGCAAATTCAAAGCTTCAATAAGCTTAGGCAATGTTGTTGATCGAATGAACAACGTGTATCTCTCGGTTGAGTACTACTTTTAACATTACCATATAATGGAATTAAAACTTAATTACTTTTGATCACATATCAAACAGCTCAATAAATAGTAAAGACGTGTAACATGATATCAGATAGTTAGCAACATTAAATGGGTATTTTTTTCATAAATTAACCCTATAAAATCAAAATGTAAACATTAGAGTTATGAAATAACTGCTTTGAACCAAGGTGTTTTGAATGTGCTTCAATCCGGTAGAAAAAAGAAAATTCAGTTAACTGAAAACTGGACCTTTTGATTTTCATTTTATGAATGAAGTCAATCTGAGATGAAAACCATCAAGCGTAATTTGGGTTTATTTTAATAACTACTATTTTGTAATTTCTGCAAATAACTCAGTGCATTTGCTGTAAAAAATAATCGTAAATCATTTGAAAATTGGCACATGTTACATTACTCTTTAACGTCGATACCTTATAACTTCTTTATTACGTTTTAGTATAAATATATTCAGAAAATATTATTGGATCTGATGGACCCTCTGAAATGAAATATGACAACAGCCAAGAACAGTTCCTCAGTTATTCCAGTGAAAACAGATCAAGGAAACATGTAAGCTTTCGAGTGATCCATTATTTTTTCTAACTGAGAAAGAACCGTATATTTGTTTCTAACAGTTATGATGGATGTATGTTTAGGTATTAAAGTGCTCACTGAATCGGTCAAGAAACAGTTTGATAAAAAAAAATTGAATTTTTCTTCAACAATGCAGTTATAGTTTGAAAATTTCAACCGACAAAGAAATTTCTCAGATTAGGAGTTGTTTGCTGATGAGTAGTATCACGAGTCAAAAATAAACTCAACACAAAGGTACTTTGAAGAAAAAGACTTAAAACATTTATTTCCAACTCTTGTAAATGAAGATTTTCCTTTTGATTTATAATAACAATTGAAGTATGCTATTTGGAATGAAGGTAATTAGCATTAGGTAAATTTGCATAGTGATCTGTGAGTAACATAACATCACTTATGAAATAACTTTAATAAAGGTTCCTTATCAATAATTATAGATAATTATTTATTCTGGTTTTGGTTAAAATACGTGACCCTTGTCTACAGCCGCAGTTTATGAGTTTATGGGAAACGATTTTTGACTTACTGTTCGGTCAACTTCCAATCTGAAAGTTATTTGTTCACATGATTTCAGGAACGAGCTTCGGGGTTGAATGGTAACATTAAATTACAAAGGACTTAAAAGGTCTGAAATATGAAAACTTCCATGGTTCTCATCAAAAGAGAAAACGTAGCTTATACAAACCTTAGTGAGGTTTTTGACTATGATAGGGATAATCTCCCTTAAATTTAGCAAAATACAGCTCTTATAACTTTTGTTCGTGTATTCGTTGATTAGATTACATTACAACTGGGATATTCACATATGCATACTCTTAATACACAATATTCCCAAAAATATATCTGTTTGAAAACACAGTAATTTGTCTTGCGTTTCTGAAAGTGTATAAGTATTCGCATTATTTATCTGTTTATACCCTAGAATGTTATTTATCTAGATCGAAATTCTCTTTATATTATAAAGAAACCATTTTTCAGATATCGACTACTTATTTCAGCATAATTATTTTCGGGTTTACAACAGAATAAAAACAATATATGAAAACTTTATTGAATTATCAGTATGAGGTTGTGGAGATTATTATGTTTTTGATTCAGATTATAAATTGATTAATGTTAGACAACCATGGAAGACCTGGGAGGTTAGACATAAACAACGTCTAATGACGTCTCAGTGGTCTAGACGTTAAGCGCTCGCACGCGAGACCGAAGATCGTAGGTTCGAATCGCGTGAGTGGGATCGTGGATACGTACTGTTGAGGAGTCCCGCACTAGGACGAAACGGCTGTCCAGTGCTTCAAGGTTTGCAATGGTGGTCTAACATCAATCGATCTCAATGACCTCAATCAAAAACTTTATTGAATTATTATTCTTACAGTTATTAAGTAATACCATATTTGATCGAATAATTCTACTTCACAAAGCATATAATAATCCCTTGTATCAAACATCGTGCTAATCATTTAAAATAATGTGTAATGCAAACTTTTGACATATATCAATTAGATCACGTCTTAATATAATATAAGACTGGTTAGCTTCTAGATAACAATGACTTAGTGAACATATATATAATCTTCCATTGTACCATTATAACTTCCACTTTTAAATGTAACTCAGAAGAAGATCTATGCCAGAGTTATTATTCTAAATTCCTAATAATTTATTTATATTTAAATAATCATTTATCTAATTCAGTCATTTTTATATTTTTCTATATTTTATATCTTTTTTTTAAAAAGCATATCATCATTATTACATTAACAAATGACATTCAATGTGTTTCTATGATGATAGACATATTGAATATTGAATAGTTTATGAATTATGTTTTTATTTCATATATAGAAATGTATCACTTCGTATCTCTATCCTGTAAAATGAAACAAAAAATCAACTACACTATTTATAAACTTTGTATTTTGTATATTATCTCATTAAAATCATTTTAAGTATTCGTTTTTATCACTAGTGTCTATGACGTCGTTACATGTAGCATACAGAAAATGTTACATAGAGAAACATGTTTATAAACATAATTTTATATGGATCAAGTGATAACTAATTATGGTTCATGTGACTGTTATTTTGTTACTAACACTGTTACCAGTATTCAAGGTATATATATATATATATATATATATATATATATATATATATATATATATATATACTGTGCATTATGTTATCCTTATTTCGATCCTCGTTACTCTGGGTTTTTTTAGTCATTTATTAAGAATCGAATTTATTTCAATGAAACGAAGATAATCAGAGTATTTATAATAACATTACATCTGTTCATTTTACGATTAACATATTAGTCAATTTAATACACTGTCAGTATTTCTAATGAAATAAACTTTTACCAAAATAAAAACAAGGATGTAGTACAACTAATTCTGTCCTAGACTCTGCTTAGATATAATGTAAACAAATGTATTGTCTAAAAATCAATTGTCTTAATGTTTTGCTCATTGTCTATCACATGTCATTCTATAACATACCACAACTTGTTGTGAATTCTTAATATTTATTTATTGTGTAATGAGCGAGAACGTAACTGGGTACAATTCAATGCATTTGAACACAAAATTACAGAATCTGAGAACCATACAATAAATACTTCATTTGTAAAATATCAATCAATTGTCTAAAACTTCATTGTTCTTTCGTTTCCACACCAATCTATGTTCTCGTTCTCTCTTCTTCAATCTTCTTAACCTTCTGCCACCAGGCATTCCACTTTTGGTTAGTGATACATACTATATATATCTGTCGACATCAATAGCACATAACACATTTGTACGTTCGTGTTTGTATATTAGTGTCAAGTGATCATAAAAGTTTCAATTAGCATTATTTCTGAAATTATGATCGAAAAATAAATCATATGATACATTATTTCTTAGTCACGTATTTAACTACACATGATGATCGAAGTCATTGACGATCAGTAGTTGATATTATTAAACTTTCGAGGATTAAATCTGTAATTTAATTGTGAGTTGAAACTACTGCATCTTCTCTTGTTTTTTTTTACAAATGTAATACGGAATAAGAATAGTTGAATAATACTGAACTGACCATTGATCTTAAAACTGAATAATATTCTTATTATAATCAGGAGAGATTACCGTAATCTGTTCAATATCCAGTAATATATATTATCAAAGATAATCAACTCGTATTAAAAGGAAATTTTGTAATATTAGGTGGTCGTTGGTAATTGACAGAAGGCTATAGATCTTGATTTTATGCTGTTGATCAACAAGGGGTACATGGGATCTTGAGAGACCTTAAATCTCCCAGAAGGGTTTTAACTTCAGATTCTGAGACTTTACAATTGTGTAATTCTTGCAGCTAATGAGCTCATGTGGGAGTGAGAAATCTATGTAGAACACGCGATCTCAAGTCACCTAGACTAGTAACAACATTGGAGCTTTAATTGATAGAACTCGATCAGCATTAAACAACTAGACAAATATTAAATCAATCATTATTGTGTGATTAATCAATCGCAAAAAGAAGCATATTCCCATTTATATCACTTTTCTTCACTATTTAACTAACTTTGAAATGTATAATTTCTTTGTTAAGTTTTACTATTTCAATTCTACAAAAAGACAAACGTTATATAATATTATGATTTTTTATTCAGATTCATTTACTTCGAAATAATTAATTTTAAAATATAATACATAATAAATTACAATTAACTGTCTAAAATACATGGACGTTTAATACTTGAACTGATGAGTCGATTTAAGCAAGACCATCATTGAAAACCTAGCAGTACTGAAGGCCGTTTTGTCCCAGTATAGGACTCCTCAGCAGTGCGCCTCCACGATCCTGTACTCGGGACTCGAACCCAGGACTTTCCGTCTCGCGAGCGTATAAATTACGTAAAAGTACACAAAAATCTTAATCTAAAATAGTTTGATTTACTAGTCTTATTTAATGAGTTTCAGACACAAACTTTCTATAAATAATTCTCAGGTGGAGCGTTTTGTTGTGCCATCCTCTTTGGCGTTTATATTCAAGTTTTCAGAGTGATAAGATTGTATACTAGTTGGAAATTATACATACTTCTGACTAACATCAATCAACTGATGCAATTTGGTTAACACGTCATTTTTTAGTAGAATTTAAAAAAACTTATCTTTTTTCATACATCAATATTAGTTAGGAACCTTTGAATAACTGCCTAAGCAACAGGACTATGATTTATCATATTGGTTACTCAGTATAAATATTCATGGTATTATTTATTTAATCTGTTTAGAACCGTATTTATTAAACTTTCTTAGTTATTTCTTGCGATTATTTTAATGTTTAATGTTCACAAGGTTCTGTTGAAATTTTAAAAATTCATTACTTTCAAAACCTACTTGTACATGATACATTTTTACACAATAAATGAATAGATAAATATTCCCATCTTAAAATATATTGGACTGTTCTGTGTAATATCGATTAACACTTATGTACAAATTGAAAAAACACTTATATATTCACAAAAATTGACGCTGATTCACTCTGATTGCAAGTTTGTGAGCTAAATGCCTTTATTCTACTGATATTTTAACAGTGAAAATTAACATCGGACAACTACTTTATCGTACCAAGAAGTGATAAACCTTTTAATACAGAGCTATTAAACTATAATGTGTAGTCATTTTGGTAAGATTATAATTTATGGACGACATTTGAGTGACGCCAAAGTAACCTTGAGAGTGTCTACCTACTTACTAGGAGTAAATGAAGATCGTAAAGCAGTTTGATGAATAAGGATTGTGATTCATAGTTGATAGTTAGGGTTAGCAATTAGATTTACGGTTTTTCATCATGAACTGACATCAGCTATAATGCCGAAACTATTTAGCCAAATGGATGGATGAATTTCGTGCCAAAATCTGAGACCTGTTATCTTATACCCGATTGGTTCGTATATAAATTATAGTCTCGCCGTCATTTTCATT